TTTTATGTAAAAGCACTCGTCCATACGCGGCATGGCAACAGGTCAACAGAAGCAAGTATTTGTGTTTGTTCACCTGAGTCGCGCCGACCTAACGTACTAAAACAAGCGTTACCCTCGAGGGCATCATTAGCTATGGATGAAACATATTTGAGCATCTATTTAATTGTTTAGAACAAAATTGAAATAAGTATTTACATAATGTATGGAAGAATTGAAGTTATTAGAATTAAAATTATAATTTACAAAAAAAAACTAAATGTGGTAATATTGTTTAATTTATTAATCAAATTTTAATTATATATTATTAAAGGCAGTGGTAGCCCAGTGGTAACGCGCTCGCTTTGGAAACAGAATGAAGCGGGTTCAAATCCCGCGTCTCGCACCTCTGATATTTTCATGTGCGAATCATTTCTAACAGTTTTCGAAAGACATGTAAAGTCCGCCAATACACACTTGGCCAGCGTGGTGGACTACGGCCTAATCCCCCTCGTATTGAAGGGAGGCCCACCCCGAGCAGTGGGACGTTAAAAAGGGCTAAATAGAAGAATTAAATTACGAGGGGAAAGGAGCGAAATTTCATAATCATAAATCTAACCTAAAAAATTATTAAAAAATTTGACAACGTCAAAACAAAATTTATTGTGTAATCAAAATTTATTTTAAAATATATCCGAAAATAACATTAAAAAATTAAGTAATAGTATAAAAAATGTTTTAAAAGACAACAAAATTGAAAGTGCATATTACAAGACTTCCGCGACACCATTCAGACAAAGAGAGACTATAGCATCCCCAATGAGGGTTGACGTCAGGCAGGCGGGTAGTTCTCATCAAAATGTTATTTTTTGCAAAAAAATTACCAATTTTTAAAACCTTCGTGCAGATCTAATATTTTAAGCGTAGTTAATTGTTTTGTTGATAGTAAGCAGTTTTATCGAGGAGGCATCCGAAACTAAGGACTAGTTTTAGAATAAAATGACATTTAATAAATTTTGATGTTACCGAGAATGACAATTTGTGAGAATAATGACATTAGTGCGGAGGAAAATGATGCTATGTTACAAATAATGACAATTTCATTATTTAAAGCATAAAATCAATAAATACCATGATAATTTGTAATATTTTTTATTTTTTATGAAAAAATGTTATAGGTAACATATAAAACTTAACACAATAAACATACGTACTTTTGTTATTTTAGAATATTAAATAACAAATTATCAAAAATTCTTCGAATTCATAGAAATTAGATACCTGATAGTCTTACAAAAATACAAAACTAAGGCGGCCATTTCAAAACATGTTATTAGGGACATTTGAAACTAATTTAGACTAGATTTCAAATGGTTTAAGGTAAAAAACCGCAATTGATGTTTGAAATTACCACCTTCGATATGAAAATCTTTTTAAGACCGAAATTGTACCTTCTATGAATTCAGCGTTTAGTCTTACGTAATATGATGATAAAAATATTCTTAGAAAACAATCAACATATTTAGTAGAAAAGCATATCTTTGGACGTTAAAGAATTATATTAGGAACTTGTAAGAATCTACCTACTTACTTTTAAATCACATCTTTTGTTATTAATTTAAATTACAACTTTAAAAGTCGAATTTAGACAACTAATTCAAATATCCAGACTTTCTTAATTTGCGTAATCTACTGTTATGATTTCTATGATGCACAATAAAAAATCACAATCAAAATGAAGACACAAATATTGAACAAAACAAAAATAAACATAATTAAGATAAAAAAAAATATAAGTAATTTAGTCAGAATTTTGTGATATTCTACAAAATTCAGGCAGTCTTGAAAATTTAAATCTATATATATAAAAGAAAGTCGTGTTAGTTACTTCGCTTATAACTCAAGAACGGCTGAACCGATTTAGCTGAAAATTGGCAGGGAGGTAGTTTAGAGCCAGGAGAAGGACATAGGATACTTTTTATCCCGTTCGACCGCGTTCCAATTTTTATGATATTTTAATTTTTGGATTTCTCTTAGTTCGGAATAGGTAAGTATTAAAACATATAATTAAAATGTGAGAAAGAAAGATTTTTTCTTTTTATATCTATTTAAAACGTACCTAGCGACGAACCCGAGCGAAGCGAGGGTGAGCCGCTAGTTAAAATATAATAAAACTAGCCATAAAAAAAAAAAATCAACCGAGCAGAAAGGCACTTTAACTATTTTGATGTTGATGGTTTGGTGGTCTCGTCAGATTTTGTTTTTGCAAGAATGGTCACATCGAGATGCTTAGAGAAGCGTCCTACAATTTTTTTTGACATATTGATGTCGTTTAACGTTATATCCGAGAGAATTGTTACTTTTTTATTCTTAGTGGAATTAGATTTTGTCTTCGCAAGTAATGTTAAATCAGATTCGACAATGTTAGATCTTACGTTTTCTTTTTGCAACAGAGGTATACATCCTAAATGTTTACCATGTTCACAAATTTTTGAAGGACCGCAGTCAAAGCAACTCAACTTTCTTAGAGTAGTTTTTGGTTCAGACCTATCCCACAATGCTTGGTAGACAGAAAAGGTGCCTCTAAATGGTTGTAGATTATCTGGAATTAAGCTCGCTTTTAGTAATATGTCACTATCGTTGACTTTTTTGACTATCACCTTTAATCTTTCATTTTCAATGTATCTCGTAATTAATTCATAAAACTGATCGAATGGACCCAAGTCTTGTCCATACATGACCATTCCATCTGCCATTCTTTTTATAGTGCCACCAACTCCATCAGGAGCACCTTTTCCGTGACCAACTTCTGAATAGCTCCAAGTTATACTGTTGAGCTGCGGGAAATCATTCTTTAACTGAGTTATCAGATAAAACATATACTTATTCCTATACTGGGAAGATGGTGAATCCGATAAAAAATGTATGGTATCGATAAACGGGTTTAATTTAATCACTTCCTCTATTAAAGGTATTAAATGACCCCACACAGCTGGAGCATCATGGCGTAAGCAATCACTAATTGTACACATGGAAGTTGGTCCAACTTGTCCAGTAGAAAAATTATGTGTATAGATAACCGCAGTATGCAAGGAAACCTGCTGCCTACTTCCACCAAAGTGGAACGACTGAACTTCTGCTCCATATTTTAAGGCATAATTTTCGGAAAAGTCAACGTGTACTAATGCTTCCTGAATATTTAGATTTTATTTAAGATTCTTGATAGCTTTGTTTGGCTCATAATTTTATAGTTGTGTTCTAAAAATTTTGGCATATCTCTCTTGAATTTATCTATTGCTTCTATCGTTGTAAGTGTAATTTTTGTCTTTTCTATAATTGTTTGTTTCTTTTTGGTTCCATTCGTAACTTGTATTTCTTTTGTAACTTTTTTCCATTCGTAAAAAGTACAGTAATTCCTTGAAAGATCTTTATATTCTATGTCATTTGATTTACAGGCCTCACAGTTTCTTTGCAAACAATTTGTATTTTTGTTATCACAGCACATTTTGGAGAGCACTGCTTCGGAATTTTTCTCTGTTATTATAGACGTTTTATTCAGACCTTCAATTAATAATTCCATATTGAGATGAATTGAGCACAAACAAGTATCCCTGTCGGCTTTTTTTCGAAAAACTACCAGAAAGGCCGAAAGCTGACAAAAAAATGAATAGCTAATTCTAAGATTTGTTTCCATTCGGAACTTTTTGTATAAGTCCTTTAAAGGTAGACACAAGAACCTTTTCTGCATACGGATTTGATTTTTTCGAATAAATTCCTTTTTTCCAGCACATAAGATGCTATTTACATCATCTAAATAGAACTATTTTACACGTTCGCTTATAGTAGACCTTACACTGGAACAGTTTTCGAATTGTAGGCTAATTTTGGAATGATAATTTTCTAGAACCAGTATATCATTTTTTGTCTCTATTTGTGTCTTTTGCCGTTCCTTGAGTAGCTTTTTTAGTCTTTGAATTTGCTTGCAACGAGCTTTATCTCTTTTCTTATAAGCCGCGATAATATTGAGCAATATGTTTCTTTTTTTTATTTCTACGTAGCGAACTTTTCTTATAGCAGCTGCAGCATCATGCTTATTCTCTAGCAAAGGATCTCCTTCAAGATCGTGCGTAGAAATGCTGTCACCTTGATTACTAGAAACGACAAAGGCTTCAAAATTTGGCGGCTTTGCTTGTTTTTTGTTTTGTCGATACCTACAAAAACGATCATGTTTATCTACATTACTATTTATTATAAAGAAGAAAGATTTGTAGTTTTGTATGTTTGTAACGAGTAAACTCAAAAACTACTAAACCGATTTAGATGAAATTTGTAAGAAGATAGTTTGAGACTCTGGAAAGGACATATGATATTTTTTATTCCGGAAATCATCCCTTAAGGAGGTGAAAATGGGAACGAAAGTTTGAATGAGGAATCAATATGTTATTGAAAATAAAGTTATAAGTATAAAATCTAACTGAACCTTTTCGAATTTTCTTTCCACTTCTTTCTTTGCTCTCTTTGACTGCGCGGAGTTTTTTCCGAAATACTTTTTACTTTTTTCGCTTCTTTATCTTTTAAATACCTTATTTTTCTTTTTTCTTTTGCAAGAGCTAGTAATTCCGGGTCATTTTTAATTTCTGCATACCGCCTACGTTTGCAAAGTCTTTGTTGAGCTAGTCTTTCTTCTTTATTTTTTTTCGGAGGCATTTTGGAATTTGTATATATTAAAGCAATAGCACAGTTGTGCGTAGTTTAATTTCTTTTAAACTAATAAAATTACTGATAAGTACCTGTAACAATATAATTTGGTTATTAGGCTCTATTTTATCGTTTATAACTATAATATAAAACAGACCAATAAGATACCCAACATAAATAAAAATGTTACCGTTGAAACAAATAGGATTTGCGATGAGCATGAACTTCATTTAAGTATCGGACATAATTTGGAAAAAAGAGTGTTTAAGACTGCCTAATTTTGTGACATATATTTCTCAAGAAATTTCATTTTTTATATTTTATTATTCATTTTTTTCATAGCGTACGTTTAATGGTAAGACTCTTTCTTCGTAGTCGTCAGAGTCGCTCATTATTGGTACAAACTCTAAACATTCATCCAAATTTGAATCGCCTCGAAAAATCCTAATTATATTTAGAATTTGAGGATACAAATTTGATCGTTTTTCGATGGGAACTCTTTCTAATTCAAAAGCTACAAGCCTCGCAAAATTTTCATTTCGCTGATCTAAAGGACGCTGATCGTGAAAGTCCACTTTGTGCAGTATATCGGTTTTAATCGACATTGTAGTTTTATCAATGTGTTTACGATAGATCATGGCATCTATTAACTTTCCGTTAATGGTTTGAGTGCCAACTTCTTTTTTCGTTGAGATATCGTTTTTCTTTTTTTTTAAATAGCTGTCCAGATAAAATTGAGGGTGAAGTTGATCTCTTCCTCTCCATGATTATTTTTAATACTTATATCTGTAACCAAATAATAGGGTCCAGCTTAGAACAAGCTTGCGACGAGTTTTTGCGAGGATTTGCTAGTAGAAAAATATGAAGAATTTTGTTCTGGTAAAACTAATAGACCTATCTAATTTTATCAAAATCTGTTTGAAACCATAAACTGTCTATATAACTAACACTGCCCAGCTCATCCCATTTGCACATCAATCGAGACGATAAAAATCATTGTTCTCACCAGTAATCATTGTCGTCTAATTACATTGTCATTATTCACAACGTGCGTCATTGTCTTCTTATCCATTTTTGCAGACAATGACGTTGCCAATAATGATGTATTCACAAAAATCATGTCGAAACATGTTAAAAAACGTATACACAAAGAAAATTCTTATGGTAATTGAAGAGTTACTCAAAAGGTAACTTAGTTATCTCATTATGCTTATAGAATCATTCCCGACTTAAAAGTTAAGATTAAAAAAGCAAATGACGATTGAAATGACACAATTAGGAGAATCAAATTCAAGACTCACCAGTTCGAAATCCAACACGCGTGTCCCGTGTAACGGCTGCCAGTCGAATGAGGGACGGGGTAGTTGGTTTAAATCACGCAAAACACAGCGTACGAATCCTTCCGTTTCACGGCACTTTATTAAACAATATATGGAGCGACTAATGACGTAAATTTTATGAACTTTTTTTGATAACATTTTTGAGTAATTTCCATTCATATTTTTTTTACGTTTTATTATTATAAAGTTGAATTATATCAATGTCAAACACGAGCTAGTAAAATAATTTAATATGAATACAATAATAATTTTTTTTGTGAGAAAATTGCCGAGAACCACGTAAAGCGACATGCAAAATAATGGAATTTTTGATAGTTTTTTCTTAATATCTTTTTTTTTGTTACTTCTACGTGAATGTGACTAAGATTGATTTTTAAGTAACTATTTAAGTATACAAAACAAAAGTAGTTTTTGAAAAATATTAAGTCATTGAGGAGTATTATCGAGAGACACAAATTTTTAGCCTCTAGAATATTCACCCAGGCGTGAGGCGGCCGGTCGTAAAACTTTTGCCAAATCCTATCAGCAGTACAGGAGATTTACTGCGCCGACCCCAAGTGATTGGGAAATGGGCAGGGAGAAGAAGAAGAAAAATCTAACCTAAACGTTATTATAAACTTAATAGCATTTCCCATAAAGCTGTTATTTTTAATTTTGGTCCTTATTATGTGCTACATTTGTCGATAAATTGATTAAATATAATTTACAGTACCAATAGATGTCAACAGTATGTGTACAACGTATGTGACATAGCTGAGTTGATTAAAATAATACTTACTAGGCTTAAAAGCCACTACCATTTTAAATTACATTAATAAAATTTTGTGATAATCATTAAACAAAGCTTAATTAATCTAAACTGATAATCACCACGGCATTTTAAATGTGCTCTACTATGGAACGCAAGACTAAAATTGTTTTCAGAAAAGCTCGAAAAATTATATAATGTAAAATTTAATTATCACTTAACTGACAAGGTAATTAAAGTAAAGTAAATAATTTAGTGTAAGTAAATTAAATAATTTATTGAATATTTGACAGGATTAATGTTGTTTTAAAAAACGTCATTAAAGCTAGATAAAGATGGAAATCTGTAAAAAAATTTGTTTATCAATTTAAATAGATTTGCGTAAATGTCATATATTGCGGTTATGATAAAATGATATAGTTGATATAATGAAATATTTGTCCAATTCACGCACCTATTGACGTTAGCGAACAGTTTAGTAGGTTTTATCTGCCATTTAATTAATGCACCAGGAGCCTAATATATGTACATAATATAAGCTTTTAAAACTTATACGTGTAAGCAAATTGCAGGTGACTGAGTATACGTAATGAGCCCTTCATGCTCTTTGCATCATAAGATACTTTGTTTTTATTTCACTAACGGAAAGTCGATCGAGGTAATAGAAACGGTTTATTATAGGAATTTATCACCATTAATTTTATAAAGTGAAATATTGGTTTTTATCTAATCAACCTCTACTAACTCTATGCTTTGTATAAGTATAAAAAAATTAAAGAGTCTATCTATGATTTCGGAATAAGTACCACACTTAAACTTAGGACTTAGACAAGATCTTACTCTATAAACAAACTTTAAAAATTGTATTGAATTAAACATATGTATTTAAATTGACGTGACTAGTGAATACTTCCTTGAAGTGGCTAAAACGGGAAAAATGTATTTTTTGGAAAGGTTATTCAATTTAGGTGATAGCTTAGCTACCGGGATATAAAGTATTATATCCCATATATATAAAAGGTCCCCATGGGATCTGACAGGTCTGTGACATAAAATTAACATAGGGACGCGCCTGATCGAAGCCAGGAGTCAACGCTATTTTTTATATTTCTATTAATATTTATTACTATAGCAAAAGATCTCTATCAAACTTCAGTAAAAAAATAATAATAAAGAAAAGCTTACCCTAATCGGATTAATAAGGTCTGAAGGTTTGTTTTTGAATGGAAAAAAAGTGTGTCATCAAATCATTATTATTTATTTATCATTAGCTTGCTTCCCAATACAAACTTTCATCCCCATTTTCACCCCTTAAAGGAATGATTTCCGGGATAAAAAGTATCCTATGTCCTTCCCAGGGTCTCAAACTATCTTCTTACCAAAATTTCATCTAAATCGGTTCTCACAAACTCACAAACTTTACCTCTTTATAATATTAGTATAGATAAGGTATTTTTTAATCATATATGTATTTTATGATTAAGTAAAACCATTTTGTTATTTTATATTTACTAATACTGTGATCCTATCTATTAGCATACGTGTGCTTAACGCATAAAATAAACTTCATATAGCTTATAGCTTGTGAGATGATAAACTGTCTCCATATTACCTAGCTATAATATAATCATAAACAATAATTACGGTTTGTCCCTTAGTGCTGCTTAAGAGGTAGGTATGTGCATGTATATAATATGTATTGTTAGGTGGTATTACGTAGATATACATGTAAAAATTATAAGTATTGGAAAGAGTATATATAAGTATTTATATATTTTTTTCCTTTATAATTGTGTATAAACTATAAACTTTCAGGCTTTGTTGGGTTTCCTTATGAATCGATATGAAATTATACCACTTTTCTTCTTCCTGCCCATTTCCCAATCACTTGGTCGGCGCAGTACATATTCTGTACTGCTGATAGGATTTGGCAAAACTTTTACGACCGGCCGCCTGCCTGACGTCAACCCTCCTTGGGAATGCCTCTCTTTGTCTGAATAGTATCGCGGAAGTCTTGTAATTATTATGCACTTTCAAATTTTTTTGTTTTTTAAAACATTTTTTATACTATTATTTAATTTTTTAATGTTATTTTCGTATATATTTTAAAATAAATTTTGATTACACAATAAATTTTGTTTTGAATTTTAAATTTTACCACAATAATTAAATTAAACAGCTGATGTTTTTAGAGGTTAATGAACGTATTTATATACGCAGTATACTTAATCATAATTATATATTCCAGAGTAAACAGAGCAAATTAATATATCATTTACAGTTTGAAACTTTCAATTATAACCACTCTAATTATAACAGCCCGTTTCATGTTAGAAAACTCAACATAAAACTTGTGGCTTTTTCAAAATGACACATTATTATCTATCCCGAGGCATCCGGAACAACATTCTGAACTAGAAATCCTTAACCTACTAATCATTAATCTTCATAACTATGAAGAAGTCGCATTAGATGTAAATAATAGTTAACAATTAACCAGTCCGACGACGTTAGTTGCTTGAAGTTGCTTGAAGCCACAGTAATTTTAAATGAATTTCCATAAATTGTTGTACTAAATTAGTCTATAATACTGCGTCATGATGCTCTAAATGTATGATAACGGAGCAAAAAAGCTGAAATGCGTTTTACGTAGCAGTCTTCACGGTGCTGATTAATATTGTAATATCATATTAACTTACCCTAGCCTGTTTTACAAGTGTCTCGATTCGAAAAAACTAAAGTAGCTGTAAACTATTAAAAGCTTGGAAGCTTAGTAGTCCACTTCAATATCGCTTGAAAGATTAAAATATAATAATATACAAAAGAAAAGTGGTACCAAAAACAGTTGGCAAGGAGAAGATAATCTATACATATAATAAAATTGTAACTAAGCCGAATCTGTACATTAAATATTTTTTGGAAAATTGTATTGAAATAAACATTATTATCGATACAGAGACCGAATCTATAGTTTTTAGAATTTTTGTCCGTCTGTCTGTCTGTCTGTCTGTCTGTTACCGCATCACAGAAAAACCACTGGAGGGATTTTGATGAAATTTGGTATGGTGATAGCTGGTTATCCAGGTCAACATATAGGATACTTTTTACCGCGGGAAAATATCTCATTACTGAGAAAAAATACAAAAACTGAAATGTAAGAGCAAACCAATATGTAAAACCTAAGAATTTGGTTTTTGGTCTAGGTCTAGTTATTAATATAAATAATGTAGAAACATTCACTGTTGCAAAATATTGAGACAACGTTCTGAATGCTATGTCAAATGGTCAGATAATTTTACATTTGGTCATATATCCAATATATTTTAACTTGTGAAGTGTATTCTGTAGAAGTTTTTTCCATGTAACATCATGAATGCCATACTTGAATAAGTTCTTATTATTCTTAATAAATGTTAGTATAAATCAGTCCAACGGTGTTCTAAGGTCTCTGGAATTCTTAAAGGCTAAAAATTAGACACCTAATAACTTGTTATGTGCTATTAGGCCCATATTTCCTGTGGTCCATGGCTAGATTACACATCATCTACAAAAACAACTATAGTGTCCATAGAACGAAATAAGTATACTCTATGCTATGAAGTATAAATATGACCTCAATTAATTGAGTCGTTCAAAGTTACACGAACGCTATGGGCTACTGAATTATTTATGTATACTAATATTATAAAGAGGTGAAGTTTGTGAATTGGTGAGATTATGACGTTGTAGGGGGTAATCTCTGAATCTACTGAATCGATTTAAATGACATTTGGTAAGAAAATAGTTTGATACACTAGGAAGGACGTATGATACTTTTTATCCGAGAAATCATCCCTTAAGAGAGTGAAAATGGGGATGAAAGTTTGTATTGGGAAGCAAGCCAGGGACGAACCCGAGCGAAACGAGGGTGAGTCGCTAGTGTAATATATAAAGTAAGCCCATATCAGCACTATATGAATATATTTACGATATACGATGTTGTCTAGGAAGGACTGTCGTAAAAGTTAACGCAAATATTTTATAAATGTAGGTTTATATTTTACTGCATCGTAAAGTCGGATTGAAATCTTACAATAGAACGCTGGCTAAGTTTGGATATTTATTATTTTAATTTTACCCTTAGTATGCCTATTGAATAATAACATATCTTGACTCTATTTTCATTATTTCATAAAAGAATATCTATACATATAATAAAATTCTAACTGAGTAGAGTTCGACTTTATTGTACATTGTCTCATTACTGAGAAAAAATACAAAATCTACAATGTAAGAGTATACTAATATGTAAAACCTAATTTGGTTTTTGATCATCTGAACGCGAGCGAAGCCGCGGGCAATGCTACTTTACTTAATAAGTCTTCACTAAAGTCTCCTAAGTAAGTAAACGCAATAAAATAAAAGGAAATCAAAAACAATGTTTGTTGACCTCTAGCCCTGATATTTCAACAATCTAAATGTATAAAAAAACTATCAAAAATCTGACCTTCAAATCTTTTGACGTATGGTTTCCTTGTACTTATTGCTTCGCTACTTTATAATTGAGACGCGTTCTTTGCTATTACTAGAGGTACCGTTCGTTGGTAGTCCTTTTTCATGTAACATAGAAAATTTCAAAAAGTAAGTATGTAAGTATATACATTTCCGTGCTGTACGCGCAGTTGAAACGGTAGCGATACAATTATTATCATTGACATCAATACACCTGGCAAGATAGTTTCCTGGAGTTTCTGTAAGTAATGGTAGGCTGTGCTATGAAATTATAACTAAGTTTTGCTCTACATCTATGTTATAGTTGTAACAAACTAACTGTGAGAATATATTTGTAGGATACATAGATTTGTGCTTACAATGTGTAGTAAATAGCAAATACAACTGCTTTATGATCACTAAAACACTCCATCTTTTTGATATAAATGTATTGTTAAATACCCCTCATAAATTAATATTGTTTATCACAACAAAAGAAAATTATTGAATTTCCTACGTAATAACGAAGTAATTCCTCATATTAAAATATCTAAAGTAGGTACTCATACAGCTTTAACATGCTTTATGTCAGTCAAGCTAACTGCTTAGTTGGAGAATAGCTCACGCAATCGTCTTATTCATTACAATTGGTAAGACGTCTTCATACGTAAATCAAAGTAACAATGATTTTCTATTACAGTAAAGTTTCCTCAATATTAATTCTAAGGTTCAAGTGTGCCTATTTAAGAATCGCAATGCACTTTGCCCTTAAAGTTTAAGCATTTTACGCCACAAATCGCCTTTTCTTGACTGCGAGCTCAAAACCAAGCGCCAATGACATGTTGTAAAACTTAAATGAAAATCGTGTAGCCTTTTGTTTTACTCCAAAATATATTTAACCTCACAATAGATCATAATGCTGTGACGTAAGAAACATGAAAATAACCTTTCTTCATAATCCAACGGTGGAAGTTTATACCTACAGATTAGATAGAACAGGTAAAGTAATATTTTTAATATAATATTAGAAAAAAATACTGTATAAACATCATTTAAAATTTAGAAGACAATTTCATAACTGCCTTCCAAGCCGCTGGTAGATTCCTCACGAACTGACTACACTAACATTTAATTTAAATTTAAAATATAAAATTGACGATTCAAAAGTGCTTGTAATAATCTACTTAAATAAAGTATATTTTGATTTGATTTAATAAGTGGTGCAATAAGTCTTAGGTGAAATAGAAATAAATTTCAACAATTTCTTCAAAAGAGAAAATCTAATTTTAAACAGCTATAATATATCACAATTTATCAAAATAGCACATTTCTACCAGCATGTTGGTTCTGATGAATGATAGACAGAGCATCGTTAGCAACGGCTGGGGGGTCCGGCCACCGCCGCGAGAGTTTGTCAATGTCATTACACCGTGTAACATTGTCACTTCAATAATATTTTAAACCGCGTTCCCAATTTTAGTACGCGATGTTTACTTATTTGAGTAAACACTACCAAAAGCTTGTCGAACACGGAAACAGATTTAAGTACAGTAGAGTCAACACACATAATGAACGCGTGCCACAGACTGCAGTACTTGTGATTTCACGAACTCATCTAACTAAACAAACTTAAGACAATATTTATTGCACGTGAAATTAGCTATCACTAATCACGGTAATCGTTTTGTAATTAACGCTAAAAATGATTTTTATTTGATAGATAATATAGTATAAAAAAAATTAATGAGTCTTTTGGATTATGTTTAATATCTATCAGTATCTATCAGTTCAATATATCAGTTTCTTAAGAAAATGTCAAATTAAAACTGCAAGAATACTTTATAGAATAATACAAATGATAGGAACAACGAATTTATCTATTTTTAATTACTGCTAATTATATATAATTGAACTTCTAAGAAATAGAAACGATACATTTATGAAGGTTACACAGACGGTGCATACGAGAAAAACATGTACATACGCCTACATTTTCTCATCAATTTTCTAAGGTTATCTTGAACAAGTAATAATGAGAACTAAGTGAAATCGAACACAGACAATGAATTTTTGCAATAGCGTGCGAGCTTTCACTACGACATTATATTTTATCGGAACCGTCTCGAGCACCTCCACCTATCATTTCTTACATTCAGATGTCAAAGTAGCGCATTTGTATTATTCCTATTTCGAGGTAACGTAAATAATTATACACTACTAGCGGAGCCCGCGGCTTGCTCGCGCTAAAACTACAAAAAAAAATCTCTAAAAAGGTAGGTTTTGATACAAATTTTGATCCCCTATTTTAAAATGCTAAAGCTGTATTGAAGGGCAACAAATATCAAGCGTATGATCATAATTTTTTTTAAGGTTTTGTATTATAACGTGTTCTCCCGTGAGATTGAGATAATCTCCCACGGTAAAAAGTAACCTATGTCACTCTCCAGCCCTCCAAATATCTCCATACAAAAAATTACGCCAATCCGTCTCTCCGTTTCGACGTGAAAGCAGGACTAACAAACATACAAACAAACACACTTTCACATTTATAATTATATATATTATTTATTAGTATGGATATGGATATGGTTATAAAAAAATTGAAATAAATTTATATGCACTATATACATATGTTAATATTTATTATTTATACTTCTTAGTTAAAATCAAGTCCATTAATAAATTTTAAAATAATTAAGTTATTAATGTGTAACTTATTATTCTCGTTAAGTAATTTGCATGTTGGCTTTACATTTCACATATTCACATAACACATTGTCTTATCTTCAATGTATGAACGTATCTTAGTGCTAATTCAACTCTAACCTTTGGTTACTACTTACCATATAAATAATTATAAGTACTCTATTGCTTATCTTTTTAAACATATATCGACCTTATCGCCGGCTTATATTACTATTAAATTTTAATTCATTATTTATATTGAAAACTACTTTGACCATTAAAACCTCTGGGGGAATTCGGATTTTGAAATTTTAAGTGAGTCAGACGAAAAACAACATATTTTAAAGGCTTCTGTTCTGGTTTGATATGTTTGAGTTAATCCTATTAAACTTGTAGTACTACGCTTCTTATTAAAAAAATTAACAACTGTAATACAATATTATTTTATATCTAAATAGAACTTAAAGCTTAAACTTTAAGATGAGGAGATCGAAAATGGCTTGCTTGAGTCAATATAACTTAAAGAGTATCCTATAGGTATACATATGTATTGGTTCAGGATAGGATCTGCTTAGTGGTTTACGCATAATTAATATACAAACATCCAAATCCGTCCAGCCATATAAATATTTGTATATACACATACAAACATTTGCATTTTTCTTCGGATCGAATCAATTGCGGATTTATTTTAATTTTGGTTCACGTGTATTTCCCTTGACCGTGATGCATTCAAAACGTCCGAAACTAAAAATAAAAAGAAATCAGCGAAAATATTCGAAAAGATTTAAAATGTCAACATTCGCGTAAATCTAAGAAAGTATTATTTATTATTGTCCTAGATATTAAAAATGTGGCGGACAAGCGAGTGTGACGGCGGCGGCTAGCATGGCGGCGTTGCTGCTGCTGGTGTCAGCCGCGGCCGCCGCCAGCCTCGGCGAACTAACGAGACGGGACACCGGCGACGTGTTCACGTTACTTGGTAACTACTATGCTCTATGTAATTTTTGTAACTATTGAAGTTTGCAAACAGTTCCTGCTATATTAATGTTTCTCAAAATATATTTCAGGAAATCTCTAGAATCAACTTCATTTTTTTTTAAACCTTTTTTTGTAAATATTGTCTAAAAACTCGATGTTTTACTCAGACAGACTTTTAATCGGTTTGTTAAAACCAATCTCTACCAAAAGAGTCGCATTTCTAAATCCATTGAATGATCACTTTCCTATATAAATTAAATTTAATTAAAATTCTCTAGCATTACACTCGAAGTTTTGTCAATCTTGAATATTTAACAATTATATAAGTATTACACAATAGTCGTTATTCAATTGAACATTTATAACTTTCTTTGTTTAATTATACATTCAAAGGTGGTGAATGCGGGGCGTCGCGGTGCGCGGAGCATGGCGCTGGCGCGGCTAGAGCGGCTAGTGGGTGCGCGTGCGCATGCCCGCAACGTGCACCACTGTTTAGAGAAGATCGGGAACTATGTGTTGATGATTTGCCAGGTAATTATGATATTTAACTGCCTCGGTGGTCTAGTGGCCAGCATGTACGGCAGCAGATCCATAGGTCCTTGATTCGAGACCCGAATTGGGCCAAGTATAGAGATATTGGATTTTTCTGTCAAGAAATTCTCATTAATAGGTCTCATTAATAAAATTTGTGGTGTTTTGACCCCATGCCGTGGAAAGCATGTAAAGCCGTCGGTCCTGTACCTAATCTTTTAACGGTCGCGTCGAATTGTGATCCCATCGGAGAAAGAAACTTATACGAGTAGAAGCAAAGGTAACATTCTCAAATGTATGGTAAGACTAATTTATTCTTACAAATTAATGTTCTATTGCAAGATTTACTTATCGATTTTAAAAGAGGAAAGTTTTGACAAAAGAAGAAGAAATAAGCACATGGTATTGCTTGCTGTTGTTGTTTACTTATCTTAGATGAACATAATATATTATATCCATTATTTAAAAAAAACATGAATATAATCTATACTTATAATAAAATTTTAATTTGAGTCGAATCTACATTAATTTTTTTTGGAAAATCTTATTGAAGTGGTCATTATTATCGATACAAAATCCGAATGTGTGTATATATTTTTTAGATTTTTTTCTGTTTGTCTGTCTGTCTCTCTATTTGGTAACGCATCACGAGAAAACCACGGGACAGATTTTGATGAAATTTGGTATGATGTAGCTTTTTTACAGTGGGAAAATATTTCTTCTCTGAGAAATCTATACGAACCATTAAAACGTTCCTAAGGACGAACCCGAGCAGAGCGAGGGGGAGTTGCTAGTTTTTATAATATAATTTTAATATGGTAAAAGTTATTTGGAATGTAATAGTCTAAAACTTTTGAAGAATTGTCTGTATTAATGAAATTCTATAGAAATTCCTTAGTTGCGCTGGTAACAGTTTGAATTTAAGCATTTAATATTAATTTATTTCGCTGATAATACATAAAAATATAAGTAAGAAACAGAAGAGTATTTATACGAGTAAAGTAGAAGATTCGCACAAAACAAACAGATACAAAACGAACAAATAGAAGCCATTAATAAAATAACTAATAACGCATAATATTTTGCATTATAATATTTTGCATTTCGATACTTTCAAGAATCCTGATGCGACAGTAAATGTATAAATATTTTGAATTAGCTTCAAAAAGCTGTATCTGTTAGTCATTTAAATGATGGATTAATGTGCCAATTAAGATGAAATATTGATATTTTAGTATTGACACTTGACACGAGACGATCTTATGATAAGGATATATAGATGTCTATTACTTTAAGCTAAATATTTCGTAATCAGAAGTTTAGTTTAGTAGAAAAGTTATCTTTTGAAGTTTACATATATTTGTATAAGTTTCTATAATCAAAACTTTTAAATAAATTGTCTCTCATTATTAAATACCAGCGACTCACTCTCGCTTCCCTTCGGGATCGTCCCTGAGCAAAAACAAATCTATCCAACGAGAACCGTACATTTTTCCGGGATAAAAAGTAACCTAAATGCTATTCCGGACTATAATCTATCTCTGTATCTAATTTCATCTAGATCTTGCGTAAAAAAGTAACAAACATCATCCATCCATCCTCACAAACTTTCAATTTTTACCCGACTGCGAGACACAAAGAAGGGTAATGTGTTTATCAGACTATAAACGTATGTAAGTGGGTTTGTACCTTTGTGGCACTATTTCGACCAAACGCGTTGGCCAATTTTGGTAAATGACATGTCGTTTCATTCGTTATAACGGTGCGAATGTGATAGAAAGCATAAAAATTTGGAAAAATTTAAATAGTCGATTTTGGACGCCATAATGTGAAAAAGAAAAAAATGAAAATCGACAAACTATGCCAAGTGGGGTATCATTGATGATGATGTTCTCCTGGCCGATTCCGGCCACGGCGGCCAATCTCATTGAGACTAGCCAACTGCGCAGGAGATATTATAGTGCACAAGTGTACGCGCAGACACAACATGCACTCTCTATTCCTGTCACTCTCATACTCCGGTGGGACGACTGCTCGACACGACCAGTGAGAGTTAAGGCGCAGGACCGACGGCTTTACGTGCTCTCCGAGGCACGGGGGTGAAACACCGCCAACTTCCCAACTCCGGGCTGTTACTGAGACTTACTATACAGAAAGACTCAATAACTAAACTTGGCCCGACCCGGGACTCGAACCCAGACCTCCGAGTGTGCAGCCGTACATGCTAGCCACTACACCACCGAGGCAGTTAAGGCTAAGTTAAGTTAGTTAGGCGAGGGTATCATTGAATAGGTATTTAAAAATCATTTTTAGGTTTCTTTCATCATTTTTCATTTTAAATAACAATTTAGGATATATAATGATTTAAGCATACATACATACGACTATGTATATCTCCCGGCAAGGAGAAAACGTGTATGTCTCCAACTGCATAATACTATATTCGTTCGTGAACTTCATTTCATCTTTTTAGTTAGGTTTTATGCAGTCGGGTTTTTTTAAATATATTTATTTATTTAATATAAATTGTGGATATGGATGTTCTATAAATTCTATATAATTAAAACCTGCTTAACTGCTAAGTTCTTCTAAATTTTTATATGTTAGGTACACTCGACGAGACGCACTCGCGACATTATTTTACATTTTATGTAAATTTGAAGTTTAAGTAGAGATGAACTTGTTTATTTCTAGTTCACAGATAATTCCGCGTAGTCAATTCTGTAGTAGTACTTTACCTACTTACCAAGAAAATAGAAATGTCAACCTCGTACAGTGTAACAGTTTTAAAAACTTGGTCAAATACCTACATAAATTTCCGTAATTTGCATAAGTGCTCGATTTCGTTTAGTGTTTTCGAGTACCATTTTCTTCAGATATGTTCTTTAATATTTTTTAAATTAGGGATTTTTGAAATAATAAACATCTGTATAAATATTATAAATGTCAATGTTTGTGAGTATGGATGTTTGTTACTCTTTCACGCCAGAACGGCTGAACGGCTCTGGATGAAATTTGGCACAGAGATAGATTATAGTCTAGAATAACACAAGGCAAGCGAAGCGAGGATGAGCCGCTAGTACATAATAATATTATTTTAAAAATTTACTTTCTAAGGTGCAATATAAGTACCTACATCACCATTGACATAACTTTTTATATTTTCTATATGCTAAAACTAAGCCCCATAATCAAAATTCCATTGCGAGTAAGCCTAGAAGCCATAAAGATTATATTTATGGCACAGGTTAGTTTAGTCTATTATTTGTTTGAGCTTTGGCTCTTTTATTTGTAACTCAAACATTTTAACTTCACCAAATGTCAACTGTTTATGTACTCAGCCTTTTTTAACGTCCCACTGCTGGGCACAGACCTCCTTACAAACGAGGATCAGGCAGGACAAAACTTTGATCTTTTAAGAATACTATTCAAATGTCTTAAAAGATTCTCAGGTTGAAGGGATCGAAAATGAATATGTCTTGGGAAAAAGTAAACATTATGGGCGAATATTTTTTTAATTTAATCATTTATCTCAGGCAATATTTACATAAGGATCTTAAATATGTAAACAGAGGTCCATAGCATAATATATACCTTAAAACTAACATACATATTAATTATAAATATGTGTGTGTCACTTAAAAAAGTAAATTTAAGAGCTCTTCAAGTATTAAGTCATGAGTAACATGAGCAATTGGTTATGGCTGGCATTTTGGTGCATATTATGTTTTTGACATGAAATTGATACTGTTTTACATGTTTAACACTTAATTGGATATTAAGATAAAATACTGCAAGTGTCGTACTTGTAGAAGACGATCATGTGCTTGCTACCGCAACTCGATCGGTCTTCTGCACGACGTTGGTAAACAAGAGCATTCCCAAAGAGGCGGCCGTTCATATAACTTTTGCCAAAACCGATCAGTATGGTAAACTTATTACGTCGACCCCAACTAATTTGGAAAATGGGCAGGGTGATGATGATGATGAGGCCATGATAGTCGCCTTAGACTTGCTAGGTTCTCTCAAACATACACGTTTCCTCACGATGTTTTCCTTCACCGTAAGACAATTTGTAATCATACTGGAAATGATTCGCATGTGAAAATATCAGAGGTGCGAGACCCGGGATTCAAACCTGCTACACTCAGTTTCCCAAGCGAGTGCGGTACTACTTGGCTACCATTGCCTTATCAACTGTTTAACTGTGCTCTTTATATAGAGTAGTGACTAAATATGAATTTGAATGCATGAAGCTGTGATCCGCTCAGTAGCTTTATTTCTATTGCCCGCTCAGTAATAATCCTTCTACTCGCAACACTATCAAACTCGTATGGACAGTAAACAATGTTAAATTCACTTCAATGTTGTTAAAACTGTGTTTTATATCTTATAATCGGCTTTGCGAGATAATGAACCCTGGTGTCAATATTTAAAATCTAGGGATATTTTTCCTGGTCTTTTCAGAGATAAAATGTAAGGATGAACATAACTTTCGCTAAGCTCCAATAAATAAGTACCAAAAGTTACAATGTACCATATTTTGATAGTGAGCAAGAACATCTCGATTTATTGACATTATTCAAACATTTTTATTACATTTTACGTGCCATCTTTTATGTAATCTTAAATTATTGCATAATGAATGCGATGAATAAGTTAGTATATAAAGTGATATAGATTAAATATATTATTACTTTAAAACATATCTGGGCTGTACAATTAGAAATAAATTACATTATTAGGAGCTACATAAGGAGGAAGATTGACTGTATTAGTTATACTTTAAGCACCGTTTACACCAAATTCTTAATTTAAGTATCTCAAACATGTTTTATAGATGTCAAATTCGAATGATTATCAAGTTTTAAATATCTATATACATAAGAATGGTATGAGAGACGTACAGACAAGTTATTCTGGTGACACATATCAGCTCGAGCAGAGCCGTAGACAACACTAGTTACACAGTACAACAAAGAATTGAATTGAATTTATAAAAGACGAGATAATGATTACTAATTAATGCAACGATACATTTGTGTTGTTCCCAGAATGTTCCTTGGCAACCTTCGGGACCGGCATGGGAGTGCAGAGGATACCATTTGTCTATTTACCGCTTAAAGGTCAAATAATACATCCATCAAGAGAAATCATCTTTCAAAGTAAGCAAGTGCTTCCAACCATTGGAATAAAACTAGCAACAAAATATTACAAAAAATATTTTTGTTTATTTGAAAATTACTGATTCAAAGTATTTTTTAAATATTATAATATAATATTTATTCATCCATAGGTACTAATATTATATAGAGAAAAATTGTATTTTTGTTGGTAATAGATAAACTAAAAATCCGCTGTACCGATTTAGATGGGTATGAAGATATAGTTTGAGACCCTGGGAAGGACATAGGATCGTTTTTATCCCGGAAATCATCCCTTAAAGGGATGAAAAGGGGGATGCAAAATTGTATGGGGAATCAATCATTTCAGAAATAAGACATGTAAAACTCATCATACCTATGTCTATATGTGTGTACTAATATATAGTCCATACTAACCTTTAAATTTACCATTTAATAAATTATAAAACTTATTTGATTTGATTGACTTGCCTAAAAAAAGGGTAGTTTTGTTTATTTTCATTAAAGTAATTTTACGTGTGTATCTTTCACAGATGTGAAGACTCCAATATGTGCAGTGTCGGGCGCTCAATTTCTTACTCGCAAAGGTTTTCTAGACCTAAGGAATACGCTGGATGCCGATGTGCCATTTAGTTTATTTAGAGATGAAGGCAGAACATTTCTACAGGTAATATATAACCTAACCTAACCTAACCTAACCTAAATAATTATATTAATTTGACTTGACCGTTATTCGAAGCTTACGTATTGAGATAGGCATTACCGTTTCCGCCGTTTATATATCTATCCTTGTCTATCCGTCTACTGTCTCGCTCTCTATCGCACCACCTGGCAGGAGAGTGGGGATCGGTGTGAACGATTCCCACTCTTAAAATTATTTCTTCATTGGCGTCTTGTTTTCCGCCGAGTGCAGTCGTGCTGGCTTGGGCTCGCACCGACTATACAAGTAACTCGTAGCATTATAGGAAGACGTTTCTATGTAAGTTTTTGAGGTAATCGCCAACAAAAATTTTAAAAGGTAACGAATCACACCATGTAAGTACATTTACCTTATTTATTATCATCATTTTTCTAGACATTTGTTTAGCACAAAATAAAACGAGTAACAAATACTTAATAGTATTTGAGAATTAGAAATTTAATGCATGTTATGTTAAATAACTGTTAAAATGTTTAAAAATGTTTTTACATTAACTGCAATTTTTAAATTAATACCATCATGATCTCCCTGCCTATTTCATGCCATAATAATTCAAATTAATATAAATTAACACCATGGTAAAGTATATTGGCACTACGTAATTCAATTTAGCTTATAAATCTTGTTTTACTATTGACTACATAGATTATACAATGGTATAATTCCTACATTTTAATCAGTTACCTTGCAGTGCTTTGCTTACTAACTGTTTACTTTTAGAATATAGGGGTTTATCATTGTTAGGTGAAGCCAACATTTGGCCTATTTAAGGAACATAAACGGCGAAGCGCAGGACACATATTAATATATAGGTAACTTTTACATAAAATATGCATCCCATTTCCACACAAGTGGACTTCTGCAACATCAGGGGGCTCCATGCAAACCTCAGCGCAGTCCATCACCATCTGGAGACTGCGCAGCCGATCTTACTATTCCTCACGGAGACGCAAATATCTTGCCCGGCCGACACATCATACTTGCACTATCCCGGCTACAAACTAGAACATAAGTTTCTAAGACGTGCCGGTGTATGCATGTTCGTTCGGGAGGATATCTGCTGTCGCCGTCTCCTTCATTTAGAGGACAGGGACCTCTCGATATTGTGGGTGCGCGTGGACTACGGTGGCCACACCCGTATTTATGCGTGCCTATACAGGTCTCATAGCGGTGACAGGGAAACAAAAAGACTCTTCGAGCACCTGCAATTGACGACGGACAAAGTTCTTGAGCAATACCCCTCTACGGAGTTGGTGATTTTAGGAGACTTTAACGCCCACCACACTGAATGGCTCAGTTCTCGGTCCACTGACTACGCGGGGAGGTGTGCTCACGAATTTGCTCTGGCCTATGGTTACTCACAACTGGTGCATTCTCCAACAAGAATACCAGATATTGAGGACCATACGAGCTCAATACTGGACCTTCTGCTGACTCAACGTCCGGATGGATATTCCATCTCAGTAGATGCACCACTTGGCTCGTCTGACCACTGCCTTATCCGGACTCTTGCACCATGCGCGCGGCCAGATCCACCTCGGCCAACTAGCTTGCGGCGCATGTGGCAGTATAAGTCAGCAGATTGGGATGGATTGCGAGAGTACTTCGCATCGTACCCGTGGAGGCAATTGTGCTTCACATCAGAAGATCCCGACATCTGCGCAGCTGCTGTCTCCGAGACAATATTGGCGGGTATGGAATGTTTCATTCCAAACTCGCTTGTTGCTGCCGGGAAAAAGAAACGACCGTGGTTTAATCGGCCTTGTAAGAAAGCGAGATACACTAAGCAAGCCGCGTTCAGGGATTGGATCACGGCTCGGAGTAATAGCGATCCAAATCTTTCTGATGTGAAACGCAAACTAAATGCCGTCTCGAGGTCCAGTAAAAAAAACAATTGTCAGAGCTTTATTCGAGTTCATCGGGAGAATTGGCGAAAAGCTGGCTAGTTACCCTTCCGGGAGTCGAGCCTTCTGGTCGCTCGCCAAAGCTGCCGAGGGGAACTTTTGTCTGTCGTCCTTACCACCACTGCAAAATGCCGACGGCAACCTGGCCCATAGCGCCAAAGAGAAAGCCGATCTACTAGGTACACTCTTTGCCACAAACTCGACTTTGAAGGTCAATGAAAGCGCCGCACCGCCAACCATCCCACGGTGTGGACACTCCATGCCGGAAATAAATTTCTCACAAAGAGAAGTCCGGCGGGAGCTGCTAAGTCTTGATGTTCATAAGTCGAGTGGGCCCGACGGCATACCAGCAGTGGTACTCAAACAGTGTGCTCCTGAGTTGTGCCCTGTACTAACGCGACTTTTCGCACTTTCCTACCAATCTAGGCAAGTACCGTCTTCGTGGAAGACCGCCCATGTGCACCCGGTGCCCAAAAAGGGCGATAGATCAGACCCATCGAATTACAGGCCTATCGCTATTACCTCTCTTCTCTCCAAGGTTATGGAGCGTGTTATTAATACCAAGCTCCTCAGATACCTAGAGGAACACGATTTGATCAGCGACCGGCAATACGGCTTTCGCCACGGTCGCTCGACTGGTGACCTTCTAGTGTATCTGACACACCGGTGGGCTTCAGCCATCGAGAGTCAAGGTGAGGCGTTGGCAGTTAGCCTAGATATAGCAAAGGCGTTCGATCGGGTCTGGCACCGGGGTCTTCTCTCGAAGTTGCCATCTTACGGACTACCCGAGGGTTTGTGCAAATGGGTTGCCAGCTTTTTATCTGGTCGATCCATCAGAGTCGTCGTTGATGGCTGCTGCTCGGAAAAACTAGATATAAACGCTGGTGTCCCGCAAGGTTCTGTGCTGTCTCCAACGCTTTTCCTTCTGCATATCAATGACTTGCTGTCTATTGATGGCATTCATTGCTATGCGGACGACAGCACTGGAGACGCTTTCTACACAGGCCGTGCAAACATCCCTCGCTCCGCTGTGGTAGAAAGTCGCGAACAACTTGTGTCTCAAATCGAGAGTATTCTTTCCAGAGTCTCCGATTGGGGTCGGGACAATTTAGTCCAATTTAACCCCTCCAAGACACAAGTTTGTGCGTTCACCGCTAAGAAAACCCCATTTACTGTGGCCCCTCAATTCCAGGACACACCCCTAACCATCTCCAACAGTATTGGTATTCTTGGTGTCGACATATCCAGCGACGTCCAGTTCCGAAGTCACCTGGAAGACAAGGTCAAGCTGGCATCCAAAAAGCTAGGTGTGCTTAATAGAGCGAAGCGGTACTTCACGCCGGGACAAAGACTGCTTTTATATAAATCGCAAGTCCGTCCCCATATGGAGTACTGCTCGCATCTTTGGGCGGGAGCACCGGCATACCAGCTTGGGCCTTTTGACTCGGTTCAGAGGAGAGCTGTGAGAATTGTCGACGATCCAATACTCACAAGCGATATAGAGCCCCTAAGTCTAAGAAGAGATTTTGCGTCCCTATGTGTGCTCTATCGTTTGTACAATGGGTTGTGTTCCGAAGAATTGTTCGAAATGATGCCCACGGCCACTTTCTATCACCGCACCGCTCGCCATCGACAGGGAGTTCATGCTCACACATTGCAGCCCAAATGGTCCCGTACAGTTCGGTTTCAGAGGAACTTTCTCCCACGGACCATCTCGCTGTGGAATGAACTCCCTGCCGAGGTTTTCCCAGAGGGCTACAGTATGGGGTCCTTCAAAAGGGGAGTAAATAGGTTTTTAAAGGGTCGGCAACGCGCATGTGATGCCCAAGGTGTTGCAGGCGTCCATAGGCTGCGGTAACCGCTTACCATCAGGCGGGCCGCATGCCTGATTGCCACCGACGTGGTATAAAAAAAAAAAAAAAAAAAAATGCAGTGTTGCAAAAGAGAGGGAGCAACACGAAAAGGGCATGTGGAGACATCCGATGATGCCAGTAACTCGCATTTGGAGCATGTTCCGACAGAAATATAACTAAAATAATAGCCGTACAGTTCGCGTGAGTATGCAATAATTATACATTGTTCAAATGGCGTAAGCAATTTGAGGGTATAAACATGTACATTTTTAAAGTGAGTCTTGAAATTAAATACATATTTAAATGTCATTTTTATATAACTATGTAAGTTATATACCTACATATTCTTGTGGTTCATGGATAATTGACATTGACATAGAGTAATGGAATGTCTATTGGATTGAGAAATCATTTCAGCAATGTAAACAAATAAAGTTATTACAGTTGTAGTATATATGTAAGTACGTGATATGAAGCGTGAAAATGCTATCGGAAAAAGGAAGAGCCTACTGGTGTAGTTCACAATTTCATATATTTTATTTTCATATTCATTTTCAGCAGACAATACGATAGTTTATAAGCTTTATTTCAGTTCAGAGCAAAAATGCAGTTAAGATGTCAACACGAGTATCAACATGAGACAACATAAGGACATTAATTATTTTTCATAACACTGCCATGGTACATGTGTATATTGTTATTAGACTAAATACAAATCTTAATTGCCTTGAAGAGGTCCTATGAGCTGTATTTTATAAATAAAACGTCTCCCCGCAGGAGTACGTAAAATGGTTAACCCTCGCAGGGTTATTAGTTATGTGTGTACCTAAGGAGTATCAAAGGTGACCGTTATACATTTACGCATACTACCTACATGCAAATACATACAGGTGGTTATGTGAGACTCATCGGCAAAGCCTGTATTACCCACTAAAATCAAACCGAACCTACCCGGTCTTAAAGGGGCGTCGCAGGATTGCCGGACGTTAATGATCCCTCCACCACGACAAGATAAGCATATAAGCACATTGGAGGAGGATCTATGGAGACCCTAACGCTGAGATTTTCATCTAGCTGTGATATTAATATCATAATCACAAATGTTGAATGTAAGCCCCGTTCAGTGAGCTTAATATGAATATAAATCCTCGCGGGATTGACAATATACTTGTTCCACAAAACAATCTCTACTCATTTTTTGATTCTTGTCAGAGTGTGAGTCACATATTAATTTTCTCCAAGAGAAAATGGCAGTGAGTTTAATATGAATATAAATCCTCGCGGGATTGACGATATACTTGTTCCATGAAAAAATCTCTACAGATTTTTGATTTGTGTCCAAATGTGAGTCACATATTAATTTTCTTCAAGAGAAAATGGCAGTGAGCTTAATATGAATATAAATCCTCGCGGGATTGACAATATACTTGTTTCACAAATCAATCTCTACAGATTGTTGATTCTTGTCCAAATGACAATGAAACAGTGAAACATCAGGAGAAAATAGCAGTGAGCTTAATGTGCAGTTTTGATCTCAATTGGAGTTTGATATGTATAGCATAAAATTTAAGCTATGCGTTGAATGGTCACTTACATGATATAGTTTGGTTAAATTCACTGAATTAGGACAATCGTTATATTACTGAGCGTATAATTGTATAGGAAGGCATCGTCTCAATAAGATTGGTTCACTCTTATGAAGATACAAGTCGGATTTAAAAGATATAAGTTTAGGTATGTAATATATAAACTCCAAACCTGTGAATGAGTTGGCTTTGGAGCATTATAAGAAATATTATACATATTATTATTATTTTTTTTGAACATATGGATATCGTATATCCATTTATCAAATTTCTAACCCGCACTGGGCAAGGGTAGTGGCCAATGGCCTGATCCCCCTCTTATGAAGGGAGGCCTGTGCCCAGCAGCGAGTCATTAAGACTTGCTGAATACGTTAAAAAGTATAATATTCTATTCCAGTGGTCGAACAGCCGAATCCAATTGGTTTTGGCCAAGGCAAATTATTAGAAGAAACAACAGTGTACCTTTACGAAGTGCATACGTTACGGGCCTTTCTGAATTACGTTGATTAAATGTAACGTAATGTATTTCATATTAAACTGATATTCCCACTCGGGGCATCAGGGGCAATTGCTATTAGGCGTTCCTGCTGTGCTTGTAACGACAGGTCGTCTTTGTTGCAAATTAAGCCTTAAAAAGCCTAAGAAATCATACAAACATTACATGTTGGTAAGCTACGGCGTTGAGAATTTTCAATAATAATAAGGGTATTGAAAGTTCCAAGAACGATAAGACTCAACGTTAAGCATGGAATATAACTTAAAATATAACATTGGCAAATACTACTACTAATATATTAAGAAACTGACATTTTCTCAAGGAAGGCTTGAAATGTAGCACATTATAGTGAAAATTTATCCTTAATTTTGGATCACATTTATAAACTACAACGGAAATGACGTATTATGATCATCGCTAAAATTGTAAGTTTTTGACATATTATTATGAAACCCCAGTCTGACAGCTAGGGTAGTTCTGAAAAATATGAATTATAGGCACAAATTGAGGAGGTACGTAATACATTATAAAAATTATCCTTAATTTTGCGTGACATTGGCAAGTAATCTTTGCTTAAGTGACACGTTTTTGTAGCCACTAACAAGATAAATTAATGTCCATTGCTTGGTTATGGATTTTACCAAATGACCGACTTCTACTATATAAAAGTTATGGCGTATATTTGATGAGTCTTGGTTTTATAAGTGACATTGTTTTAAAATTTATATAATAGTACTCGTGCCTAAGAAGTGTTCTCAATTTATTGTCATATGTGGAAATATCCTTTGATGTGCATCTGTGTACATCATACGTAGCTTCTTCTACGTAAATCATAAATTTATCGTCGAGGTTAAACGTACACATATGCGTATACGTATGTCATTGTTAAAAAATCATAAATTTTACACCAATGTGTATGCGAACATTTTTAACAGTATATTTCCGTTATGGTATTTTTGGCACACTTATGGAAAGGATTTACGTTAGGCGTTGTAATTATTCTAAATTAAATATTTATCTTTTCGGATTGTCAAATATTCGTGTAAATCTAAGAAATTATTATTCTAAAATTAAATAATATTATTAGAATTTTTAATTTGAATGCGAGTCACTTTGACGAAACAATGACTCGTTTAGCTGAGCTTTCTTTAAAGGAAACTAGATCTCAGCCTAGTATTATTACTAGCCTATTATTATTGTTATTTACCTACAACATATGTTAGTATCGTGCGAAGTCGACCTTTCCCTACCATAGTTATCATCTCATCTCTTGAGGTATCTCTCTATCTATAAATATAGGCACTTCCAAAGCCATTATCAAGTCTTAAGCGTTGTTACATTTGATTTATTTATTTTTTATATACGTAAAGAGTTGGTTTCCCAAACCAATGGGCTTCAGAGTTATTAAAGAAATGGTATAAAATGGGGCGCACTATTTATTAATAATGAAGAGGAATTGAAAGTCAACTAGTGTGTGTTTTCAGAAGAATTTATTAATTTATTATTAACTAAAATTGGAATTTTAAAACGCATTAATTGTTAATGTTAGTTATTGAAATTATTGTTCGAGTATCAGGTCGCGCATAGTAATGTTAGATATTAGTTTTTCTCAAGGTCTAATGGTCTAGGGTCTCGGCTTCGGGCCTGATCACTGGACTGGGAGAGTGTAAGTAAGAATAAACTTGGTCATGTTAAGTGAACACACTTTTAAACCATAACATCTCGAGGGCAGATGGTTTCTGAAACATTGGCGACCGAGGCCGTAATCGGCCAGGGAGATGTCTCCCATGTTGTATTAATACCTTGTTGAGTTGTGTTATCTACAATATAATTTATTTTTTATTTGTAAAAGGACTTTGGAAAAGCACTGCATTAAGTGTTTATTTTGGTCTTAGTATAAATCTCATCTCAGTGTTTCAGTTACATACAGCAGAGTTTATTTCATCACATTGGCGTCCGTCTCCTACGCTTGCACCACCAGGCGATAACAAACAAGTCTCAATACGTAAGCTTCGAATAACGGTCAAGTCAAATTAATAGCAGCGTTTTACCTACCAATAAAACGCATATTAATTTACTTACCTTATTCGAAGCTTAACTTTGAATAACTGCCTGGTGTATCTCGACTCAATGAAGAAATAATTTTAAGAGTGGGAATCGTTCACACCGATCCCCACTCTCCTGCCAGGTGGTGCGATAGAGAGCGAGACAGTAGACGGATAGACAAGGATAGATATATAAACGGCGGAAACGGTAATGCCTATCTCAATACGTAAGCTTCGAATAAGGTAAGTAAATTAATATGCGTTTTATTGGTAGGTAAAACGCTGCTATTAATTTCATTTATAGTATATACCACGGGAAAAGCAGAACTGAGAACACCTAGTTTAAAATTTATTATTATTTCACTTATCTGCAATTTTCTAAGAGAGAATTTGCACGTGCTATTTTTAATTGTGATATTGAAATCCATTTGACTAAAAACTATTCTCTGTTCTCTATAGATCTAGCTGGTAATTGTCTCGTTATGAAAAATGTATATTTTAATTTTCAGTTTCAACACTATGTAGCGTAATACAAATATGTTATAAATTTTAGTCTGTAATGTTTATAGTGGAGTGGTGAAGATGAATTGCGAACGAGAATGTCCGGTCGGGTGATGGTAGTTCGGTTGTTATGCAGAGATATATCAGCGACGCCAACGTCACCTCTGGACTTACGAGGTGTTTTCACACCGTGTGTGGCCTTCAGGGTGCAGGGCACACCACCTAAACATGGCAATAGTGAGTTAATGAGTATTTTGTATTCATCCATTTGTAACAATATACATACATTCAAATTAAAAAAAAAACACATAGACATGAGATATGTATTATATTTAGTAAACTAACAAATAAAAAAATTCTATGTATTTTTCAGATATAACTGAAGTCCAATTCGCGTTGAATGCGCATACATCGGAAGTCTCTAACACATCGGGTCTCACCGTCACTGAATATATCGCTATTGGCATTAGTTCCTTACTTCTCGGTCTCATTTATGTCGCATCTGTTTTTCTCTATTTGCATATCAAAAAACGTCGTAAAGCTGCATCAGAAGAGAGTAGCTTAAAAAAGCTAAAGAATTTAAAACTTAAAGATGGAAGTTCTATAAAAGAACATGATATAATACGAATAAGTAACGAACGCATTCAATCATTAACAAATCAGGATGACGGTGTTATTAAGAAAAATCCTTTATTGACTGTCGGGCGACAGTTTCACGATAACAAAGGTTTTTGTAGCGAATTGTCGGATTTAGAAGATTTTGCTGATAGTAGTGTACGAAGTGAAGAAAATAATTTTAATGTAAGTAAAATAAATATGAAATATTATTAAATCATATTTATTATATACTTTTTCACGTGATTTGCAATAAAATCAATATTGATACTGCTCTATCGATACGTGTCTTTGGTTGCGCATATCAGTATTAAATTTCGATTACTAAGTAGCGAAAAGACTAAAAACTAATAAATTTTCTAGAAACAAACAACGTCCGCAGTAATACACAGAAACTCAAAAGAAATACGACATCAAGGTGATGGTTACGAAATGAGTCATCGAGACGAATCCGGGATCGAACGTTTGCCCGACGAGCACGTCTCCATCGTAGAGACAATAGACGACCGTGAAATCGCTAGACCAGTGGGAACTACCCGCCGCAAGCTTTACTTCAACCCAGCTTACTTTGAACCTCATTTAATGGCAGTACGTATTTTTAAATCTTTATTTTTTTTACATAAATATCTGTATATAATAATAATATACTATAATTAAAGATGTGTTTTGAATAATGCAATGCATATTTTTCTTTTTTATTTAAAGTTAAGGTATAAAATGAGAATATTAAAAGCTAAATTGATTAATTATTTTTAGGATCCCCCTGCTGCCGCAATCGAGTTTCTATCGAAAATAAGAGAAGTGATGGCAATTGCCAAACAGAAAATGGCGTCGAAACGTTTTCATCCAGTATTAAATGGAATACCAGAAGAAGAAACCTATGCATCAAATAGCATTGACCTGTACAATGCATTTGGCAGCCAACGTAGTGGCAGTGTAATTAGTTTGAAAAGAAACAATAGCAGAAAAAGGTCTTCAAATTGCTTGGGATGTCCCGGCTGTAAATCAAGCAATAGTAATGATATTCAAACCTTTATAAAATACAACGTCACGACTTGTAATAATTGTATCGGAGATAAAGGTGAAAAACAAAACAGCATACGAAAATGGCTAGAAAATATTCCAAACACCAAATCTCAAATCTTTTACAACGATCATGCACCAAATCAAATTAAAACTAACTTAGCAAATTCACTTTTGTCGCTACCTAAAATTGAAAATCAATGTAAATTACATAAAACTAACAGTTTTAGTGCTTCTCACAGTAGGAATATAGACAACTTCTCGAACAAACAATCAACGTCAAGATCGGTTAGATCAGAACCATCTGTTCGAAACTATAATATACCTTTGCCTGATTTCGATAATGTTGATACCTTAAGCAATCACTGTGAGACAGTATCGAAGGAAGATGATATAACACCTATTGGACTAAACGATAGCCGTTCTGGTAGTCTTAGTAGTAATATGGATCATACAAAACCAAACAAACACTCATTAATTAAAAATAATACTAGCTTACCAGATATGGTCAATGAAGCTATAGCACTTGACCATTTTTCAAGATCTTCATATAATATGAGCAGTTCCGATGAAGAAAAGTTTTCTAAAAATTCTGAATCTAAACAAAATGAAAATTCTTTTGAAAGAAATGTTTTGGATAGTCCTTCGGGAAATGAATACGAAACAGATAGCCTTGAAAGAAATTCAAATAAGAAAGGAAAAGTTACACCCGTCGAATATCCTGATGTTCCATCCTCCCAAGCAAGTCCAAGCTTAAGCAATGCGTTACCACTAGAAGAAGAACTTAGTGTGAGAAATGCTATATACAAAACAAATTCAAGTAGCAATAGCAATACTCCTTCTCCACTAGGGGATATTTGTATAGGTGACAACCATTATGAGACGATAGAACTAAAGAAATCAGTCTCACCAGTCGAATCAACTACTAATGTAGCTTTAAAGCATAATAATAATTATAACTTGGTAAGTGAAGTTTATGTAAATAATAACTATAATTTTGACAGTACACCCACATCTCCGAGTGGATCGGAATGTTCAATGGGAAGCAGAAAACTAAATTTATTACATAGTATAGATGAAAAACCTGGTTGTTTAACTATAGAAGTAAAAGATCCACCAGAAAATTACATAAAAATTCATGAATCTGACGGTTTTGAACCTGATACTTTAGATCGCAAATATCCTAAGCAAAGAGAAATAATAGAAAACATTCAGTTCAGTCGAAAGGACCTATTGAAAAATATAGACGTATCTGAACGAAGAAATAGTCAACGTATACAACTAAGAAGTAGCGGTACTTTTGTAAAAAATGATGGAAAAAATGAATCGATGCCTAGATTTAATAGCTTACGAAATGATCACGAGCATCCAAGACACTTTTTGAATCGTCCAAAACTGTCACCTACTGTTTGCAGTGGTTCCAAATCACTAGAAGGTACAACGGATGATGCTTGCGATGATAACGCCGATGATTGGTCTTCAGAGGAAGGTCGAATTTTAACTTTAGAATTGCGACATTCTAAAAGACAACGCCAGTCCACTCCACCTACTATAAAACAATTAAAAAATTTAGCCAGACCTGATATACTTCCACCTCTTCCACCCACAGAAGACAGTCCTATTTATGAAAAACCTAAAATTCCTCCTAGAAAAGTTCAATGTGATAACACAAGTATCCCATACCCCATAATTTCACAAAATAGAAACTTGAGTCCGAGAACTAAAATCACTAACATGATGACAGAATCTGTTGTTTGCGATAATTTGTCATCGAGTAGTTCTATTTGCCCATCTTCAAGGAATCCGATAAGAGCATCTATTCGTTCTCAGTATTCAAAGTACGAAGATGTGAATGCACATCAAGAAGAAATAGGTTTTGATAATAGCAGAAACTCAACACGTACATCGAGTAGCCATAGCAGAATCAACACTAATACTTTTGTCCGGGGACAAAAAGGAGAAAATGTTCATAGAACAAAATTTAGACGAAAAAAGGGACCAAATGTAGAAGATTCGGGGTATCTTAGCAGTGACTCCACTAGTTCTAAGCAAGTTCAAAGGAAATTAGTCATTACAAAGATAGTAAGTTGTACTGAAAGTGATGACACTGAGGACGAAGCTAGAAGTGAATCCGGTGCGGAAAGTGTAGAAACTCATTCTGTGTATTTCGGTAACTGTCAAAAAATGCAACAAAGTGAGGAAAACACGAGAAACTCTAACAAAATGATAACAGATAATAAAAAAACAATAAACGCAAGTTGTGAAAATATTAGCCAGTGAATTGTGCAATAATAAACTAAGTGCAATAAATAAATATAAGTTATTAAATACAATAATTATTTAAAAATAGCGTAAATAAAATACCTCTTAATATACATATATGTACATATAAATAAAATAATGGCCGGATGTGCAATGCAATAATAGAATATACGTTAGTTACTTAAGTTTTATCCTAAATGCAATTAGGAACAAAACAATGGAATATGCTCACTGTGTCATAACATTATATGTAATAAGGGCAAGCTTATAATATCTGAAAGAGAATTAACTCAGTTAAGTTAAAGCCTTAAGAATACTAATAATACCGCGTTAATATCGTAAAGATTAAGAAATAGAGCTCCCAAATTCAATCGTGGTATTCAACTTTGTGTGTTTGTAGATCACATAATCATGTGTTATATCGTGATCTAAATATTTTTATTAGTTTTCTATTATCGATATCGATTGTAGAAATTCAAGCTGTTCAAGAAGATGGACTGAATATAATAGCAGCTTTTAATCCATACATAATATAATAACATTTAAGTAAGCCGAATCTGTACATTAGATTTTTTTTGGAAAATCTTATTGAAATAAACATTATTATCGATACAGAGACCGAATCTATAGTTTTTAGAATTTTTGTCTGTCTGTCTGTTACCGCATCACACAAAAACCACTGGAGAGATTTTGATAAAATTTGGTATCGTGATAGCTGGTTATCCGGGTGAACATATAGGATACTTTTTACCCTGGAAAAAATTTCTCATTTCGGAGAAAAAATACAAAAACTGCAATGTAAAGGTATAATATGTATAACCTAAGAATTTTGTTTTTGTTCACCTGAACGCGGGCGGAGTCGCGGGCAATGCCAGTGTCAACCATATAATGCTATCTTGCAGTGAACACAACCATTAGTTTCACATTAGAAATTCCATCAAATTCGTAATCGATAATGTGAAATTAATTTTGTATGTTATAGAATAAGAATAGATAATTGAATTGAAGAAGATAATTTAATAGAGTCGCTCAATTTTTATTAAATTAATATTGTTATTATACTTATTACTCTTAGGATAGGTGATAAAAAAATCATGTATTATTTGTAAATAATGAATTGTGAAGAGTCAGGCGGCACTGATAAGCTTCCTAGTACCTGACAAGTATGGGTTGCTCCGGTGAGGTGTGCTAAGCACATTTTTATCCTCCCCGTTATGTAATAGAGCAAAATTATATATAACATGTACATGTTGAGAATAAGCAATCTTTACACTAATATTACTAGCACTAGTGACGCGCCATCGCTTTACTCGAGTTCATTCATGCATGAGTGAAGCGAAAACGACACTTATCGCTTAAAAGCTTAGCTTCGAATAAAAATGTAATATAAGCGCATTTTTAAGCGCAAAGTAAGCTTTTTTTTAAATGTTTATAGTAGTCCGATAATGGATTTTAGAAAAAACATTCGAAATAGTTATCTGACAAGTCGATTCTGTCAATTCGAAATAGTTATATGAAGCTCAATTTTTTATATGTGAACTTTGATGGCTGAAAAATGTTAATAATATATCTTAATTGTTTTACTTAAACTCTTGATTGTTTTTTCCCAACATGAAGCTTTTTGGTTGTGGGTATATTAATATAATTTGAAATAAAAATAGATTGACAAAAGGTGGTAGTGATTTCCGGTCTCTATGTACATTGTACGTACATTGGGTTCTATATTTTGTTCTATAGAGAAGAAAACTGTACCTTTAAAGACTTTAAAAAATATTCTTTGAATAAATCAAAACGGTATCGGATGGCAAGTGCCAGCTTCTATTAATAAAAAATCGAACCCCCTTTTCACTGAAATCTTTGAAGGAAATGTAGAAAATTTTCATAAATTTAAACAAATATAAGTGAATCAGGTTGATAGTAAAGTGGATTGTCATCTGTTGGCGTCAATTTACAAGGCACTCTATACTAAGGCTAGAAACCAACACCATCGTTTGTCAATTAATGGAAACAACTATAATAATTTAATTACTTTAGTTTATCAATAAGCTGATAAATGGTGCTAATAGAGGAATCAATCGGGTATTGCAATAATATATCACTAAGGAGCGTTCCCAATAACTTATCTATATTTAATATTTCTTACAATCGGTACGAATGTGACATAATTTGTATGCACTTAATGTCAAATTTCTATCTCTATAAGTATAAAGGAAAACAACAAATAGATAGTTTATTGGGAAACGCTGTAAATTGTCCTTTTTTTGATGCTAGTTTTTAGAATTTAATGTATACTTTAAGATAAAAAAAATATTTTTAGTTTCAAATTAAATTATTTATTAAAAAATAATTTTAAATATAAAAAACAATACAAATTGGTGTATTTAACTTGCATTAAAGAATTGTTTAGGTAATATATGTAAAAAATTAAAAATATAAATACATATTACATTTAAGTTACGACTAAGTTATAAATAATGCTCAATAATTTTCTCATTAATATCTTACTTTAATTAAGGGATTTACTGTAAATGCTCTCTTTGCCAACAGTATTTTATAAGGTTTATTTATTCTTCTAGTAATTTTTTTTTATATTTTTATAAAAATGTACACAATATAACTATTTAAATAATATAAAATAAAGTTTCTATTATATTTACGATTTTAATTTCACGTTTTATTCTTAGTATCTAAAATCTAAAAATCATCATGGCCCAAGATGAATCATCATTGTAGGTATCTAAAAACCATCAACTAACACATGTCTTTTTGTAACATAGTTAATATGCATTCCTAAACCATTGATCCGACTGCAATAATTTATACTACAGTCATTTGGTGAGAACTCATCAAAGTTCTTTGACACAGATTCATTAAATATCACTTTATACGCGAGCAAAGCCAGGGTGGGTAGCTATCTGAATTAAAAAATTATTTCCAATTAATGAATGCCTGAAATTGTGTAAAATATGCCTTCGACAATGTTATGTTAACATTACGTAATTGCCTCGGAGGCATAGTGGCTAGCACGTACGGTTGCACATCCGGAGGTCTTGCATTAATAATAAATCGGTTCATCCAGCGCCATCTATTGACAGCTTTACGAACTTATAGACCCACCAACATATTATCTGTGAATTCTGTCGTCATAATTTAGAATGCAGTACTTGCATTATGGTGGTTTCGAGAAAAACGCGGGAAACATATTTTTACACATCTGAGCAAGATATTCGAATTTTATGGCCATAAAAATATATCAAAAAATTAAGAAAAAATCGAGCTTTAGAATCATAATTTTCTTTTATTTAATTTATCAATATATCCAAATATAATGCGTATTACTGCGTTTAGGTTTAGCATCAGGTCTTGCGAGAATCAGAGGATACTAAAACTAAATGCAGCAGTTGCGTATATTACTGCATTATAGTCTAGCAGTCAATTATCGACGGGTGACGCTACCGACGCGACGTTTCAATAAAGGTATCTTCTAAAATAATGACCTGTTAGGTTTTTGTGCAGGCATATACACAAAATTTTAAATGAATCAGGTTTTCTATTTTGAATAATTAAACAAACCTTGTGAAATTTATAAAGCCTGCAGACATGTTATTTGGGACCAATTTTTCATTCGCCCAGGTTCGACGGATCCCATCTTACGGATCAGTAGTACATTCTCTATGATTTCTTTAAAAATTGAAATAATATTCATATAAGCTGCAAATGAGAACGGACTCCTTATCTCTCGAGTAAAATTTAACTGGCGATTGAAAAATCTACTTTTAATGACATAGAAAATATATGAATCTAAATCGAACACAAATGACAGTCGAATAACTTTTCCAGTATGGCGACCGTAGTTCCAAATTTTTACTTCACAGATAACTTGGTACGTTAGAGCTTTGTTTTCAAGAGTTTTCAATATTACAGAAATGGATCCATGAGAACTGTTTGGTCTAAAAATCACAGATTACATAATACTATATGAGTACAGATGTCCCACCCGCGCAAAGAAATTTTGTTTGCTTGAATATATAATAGATGTCGTTCATCTGTAAACTGTCGAACTACTTCATATTACATATTGTGTATGAGGTATGTGTAAAATGAAATATGATAAGTATTGCAAAATTCATCTTGAATTTAATTAAACAAATATCAGTTAAGCGTATTTAACGGGCACAAAAAAATAGAAAAATGAAAACCGCCAACTTTGTTCATGCACTACAAATCCATTACCTGATTGCTGTTTATTCAACAATCAGTAAAATTACCCAACAATTTACGAGCGCATTATTTCGTTTTCATTGCTTTACAAAATTTTCTAAAATCATTATATAAATTTTGATCTATTTTACATCTTTTGTAAATTTTACACAAACTTTCAATAACAAATCGATACCTATGCCATCTATTGACATTTATTTTGAACTGTTTTTACTTTGCTTCTGATGAGACAGTCCAAGTGACATTTTAAATATTTACAAACATACAGTTTATGAAGTTTATAAGGCTTATAGGTATTTAGAAATAAAAAAGGATGTTTTATGGTTCTTTACATCAATTTATTAGTACACAGTAACAATACAATTAAAATCATAGTATAATGAGATCATATTTACTATTCTATAGCCATGTAAAGATTGAGCCTAGGTTTCAAACGCCATAAACAATCCCACGATCAATCTCACTTACACATAGATGCTAAGTGTTTCATTGTTCCAGAGCCTTCCGTAGGATTTTATCAAATAAAAAAAAACATACGTGAACTGCATATCCTTAAAGTCATCAAACATACGAAAAAAACTACATCGATTGTATAAATAATCAAGTAACGCCAATATTTTAATAATGGTTTCTGCTTTTTTCCATAGACAAATTAAATATTGAAAAGCTCTAAGACTTGCTCTCAATTCTCTTAGTCGTAAAGTTGTCTTTATTTACCAAATCATCATCATTTTTATTAAGTTACGTTTTAATCAAGCCCGCCACATAAGAGAACCTACATATAAATCTCATTTTATATTTCACTTAACTTATACAATGGCTTGTTTTATTTGGACTATTTTATCTAATTTTATTTTAACAATTTTTTAGTTCTGAACTTATCAATAGATGGCGCTGTCCTAGAAATTTTAATGAAAGTGAACTCCGATGGTACTAACGAAATATAACAGATTAGTATATAAAGACATGTTAATCATCAATAATCATAACATCAGGATCTGAGTCAGGTAGAGCACTTTTTACAAACCTTAAAGTCTTAATACCATTCAAAGATTCTTCTAACAGCTTATTTCTAAATTCTAAATACTCTGGCAAGCCTTGTGCTAACAAATCAATTTCTTTATTAGACTCTTGGTCTATGCCTTTCGATTTTATTCTCACCATACAACTGTTTATGTGGTCTTCCATAATTTTGACTTGATTTCTCACTGATAATGCACAATCTTTATAATTTAACGTAAAAGTTTTTTTCTCATCATATTTAGACAGCTCATCGATTTTTGCTGTCAATTCATATTCTGGAGTTGTTATAATAATTTTATATGGGACCGAGTCATATATGTAATGTATCAAAGACAACACTTGAGACGGGGATCTGAAATAGACATAAATTACATTATTATACAATATATTATGTATATAAATAAGTACATGATAAAATCACAGTTGTATGCAATGCCATATAAAGTTGGGGTTAACAGAAAAACATACACACAGACCATAGCTAGCATAGTTTACGCTAAATATTTTGGGAAATAGGTATTCAAAGTCAGCATATATTCAATATAGCAGATAAAATGGACGAACGCAGAATTATTTACAGGGGAGTGCATCTGCTTTTTCACATTAAACTACTAACTAATCTGTAAATGTTTAACTTTATAATTTTTATTCATATGTTATTTAACATCTTTTTTGGCAGATATCTAAATATTTTCTTCATGGCAGCGGGATGCAAATGCACCCCCTTGCACCCCCACACCCGTCGCCCATCAGCAGATTCCCTGCTATTTAACCTTACACCTACAATTTATTACATGCATGTAACATTATTACCTGTATTTCTAATATAAAAATATGCATTGCGCTTTTATTTAACCCTTGACTCCTTTTTTATAATTAGCAACAGTAACCAAAAAAATGTCTGTACTAAAAGGGTTAAACAATTTAGAAAAATAATAATCACTTACCGAGCATAAACTTGAACATTTTTAATGTGACTAGATCCAACTTCATTTATATTATCTTCAAAAATAACCATAAGACCATAGAGAATATGATGTGGCGAGTTTTTAAAGACTACAGCATTGTCTATGCTTGAAACCTTTTCCATTTTTAAGTGCTCACAAAAAATATCTGTTGGTGTAAGTTGAATATCCTCCACACTATACATTATATGTCTTAAACATAAATCTACCCTCTCAGATGTGGCAAGAATGGACAATATTAAGTTGTTAACATCTGAAAATATAAATTTTCATATTTAAATAAAGTCATTTTATCATTTTAATATATATGTGTAAAATATAAATGTATATTAGTCATTTTAATGTAATAAATAAATAGTAACTATAACATATTTAATTTTAAAATACCCCCAAAAATTCCTAAATATTCTCAAATCTCATTCTTAAAACACGTCACATAAAATTTGTTCATTTTTTGACTTCTTTACTATGCTGTTTTACATTTTGTGGAACTTGGAAGTTATCTAACAATTTTTTATAATGTAACACCTTTTTACATGCCATCCAACTAACAAACTCCCTTTTCTTAAATGGCCATATAGTATTTGAATTTATAGTTCTTTTAATTTTGTTTAACTCTTTTGAAAAGCCTTTGAAATTTAAGTCTTAATTAAGTCCATAGATTTTGATGAGATCTTATTAATTATAAATACTTCATTTTTTCACTCTTATTTAGCTTGAAAATGTGTTTTTCACACTACTCTGAAGCTATTGTTATAATAGCGACCCTCACCCTCGCTTCGCTTGGGTTCATTCCTAGGTATGTTTTAACAATTACAGTGGAATAGATAGTTAATTCCCTAAAAAGCTATCCCACAGGAACCTTACATTTTCTGGGATGAAATATAAGCTAGGTACTATTCCAGACTATAATCTATCTCTGTGCCAAATTTCATCCAGATCCATTCAGCCGTTTGGTGTGATTGAGTAAAAAGCATCCATCCACTTTCATATTTATAATATTAATGGGATTGAAAAATATAATTACCATCATCATAATCTGATAATATATCAAATTTTTGACCCATGACATCCAAGGCTGATATGGCAACACTATCTACAGGAAGCAAGTAGTGCTTCTCTTTTAATTTTAAAGATATAACAACATCAAAATCAATCCTGCTGTCCACATTATGTTGGATTTCATCTAAGTCCACTATGGTAGCTATTGTACATGTTTCTTTACTATCTAGTTTTAAATTTGTTTCTTTCCAAAAAGGAGATTGTGGTATTTGAATGAATAACTTTGATATATACTCCATAGATGGTCTTGTTGTTCCATGGAGAAGAACACATATGTTTTCCAGAGCACTGTGAATATCAGAGAATTCATAAATTAAAAAAAATGAATATATTAATTTTCAAGTTTTGAGTATTGTTTTGAGATTCAGTAGCTTTGGAGCTTATTCAGTACAAACAAAAAAATCTTTGCTCTTTATAATATTATAGTATAAAAAAAACATATCTCAAGATATTATTAAGATTCATAAGAATATACACTAAAATCACAACATTACTTGCATTCGAAATACGATTAAAATCTTTATACCATCTTAACAATATCATTGTCATATATAATTAAGTAAAAATAATTAATGACTGAAGTACTCACTCTTCATTTTTATTGAGTATTCTGGACAATACAACTATTTTCTTATTACACATTCGAAGAAGGGGAGCCTGTGTTTCAACTTGTAATGCATTAGATATCTGGAAGAAGTGCCAATATAAGAGCTTTTTTGGCTCATATCACTATGGATGCTTTTTAAATATTTCATAATTAATTGAACTACTTATTACCTCATTCTGATCAAGTTTAAATGCAGAACTATTTGAATTCAACTGTACACTTTTGTACATTTGAAATGCAGCTAGTTGCCGTAACTTTACATAATCATTGAGTGTATTTTCATTATGTTTTGTTGTATATTTAGCTTCAACCAATTTTCTCATTAATTGATTTATTATTGGCAAAGAATCTTCAGATTGAGCTTGGGTTAGAATTAATTCAGTGTCTCCTAATCTATTTAAATCTTCATCAAAAGTCATTGGTACTGCATCATCATTACAATATATTTTAAGACCTTTGCAACTTGGCTCTTCAATTGTATATCTTTCTACATTAGATACTCTGCAGTGTAAATGGAGACCTCCTTTTTTTGATAAGATAACTATTTCATTTTTAGCAACCACTAAATAAAAAAGATCACATCTAATATTTCTTAAAGTAGTGATTTCAGTTACATTATTTATATTTTCTATTAGAATTGAATCAACCAATTCACGTTGGTAAAATTCTTGCACTTCACCTTTGTGTGTAAACACAGTAATATCTATAGGTCTTTGGTCCCTAGGATGATTATCATAGAATATAAAACAAGCGACTTCATTAAAAACAGATTGTGGAAGTAGCTCTAGAAGTGCCTGCCGAACGTTATCTGGAGTTTGAATCATTATAAAAATAAATATAAATGTTTATATATATAATACTGCACTTAACGGAAACAGAAGTTTGCTATTCACTATTTAATAATATTTGTAAAAACTTAAAACAGTCGTAAGGCAAACAAAACTATACAAAAAAGTATAATAATGAACCTTTTCACACAAGTTTGAACTTTGAAGTTCAGATTTAAGTAATAAGTAATAGTATTCACTATGTGTAACTCAGCTCAGAGCCGGTTCAAATATTCAGTTCACTGTAGCTAGAGCCGTTGAGCTGCGGCTCAGTTGCTAGATAATCGGTTCACAGCTCAATATTACTTAATATGGCTCCGTGCATCACTTCAGCGCCACCTAACGTCAGCTATTTTGATGGACCCGAGCCGACGGACCTGTACTATAGTCTATAATCTATATTATTATATTCTTTGCGACGGACGGTATGACATTTCATAGCGACGTAAAGATATAATTGCATGAAATTAGCATTACCCTATAATTGTGTAAGAACGAAAAAATATGACTATAATAACTTTTTTCGAAATGCTGCTTTATTACATACAAATATAATTTAGGTACATCATACATGTCATTTGTTTGAACAGAGTCATAAATTAGCTGTAAATCTATAGTTATAAGTACCCATACAACATCAATTGAGCTGAACTGTGAGCCGGTTCACAGCTCCGGTTCAAGCATATGACTCATGAGCTGACCTGCAGCTCATAAAAATTCATTGAGTTACCCATGTCTAAATAGTATTGACTTTTGACAGTTATTGACGGATGTACGGATGGCCCAAGGCACGGTAATATTACGTTACATTACCGTGGCCAAGAGACTCATCAGTAATTTAATTTTTAGATTTGAATATAACATTGATTCATTTACAAAACCATGACTATATTAGAAGAGAAGAAACATAATATCTAAATAATATAAGCTTTTATACCAAACATTTTTTACCTTATCTATTAATTATCTGTGGTTGTAAAAACAGTTAATATAAATAAATCTTTGATTACCTACCTACGTTAAACTCTTTAAAATAGCTGATAAGATTAATTATTATGCGATATAATAAATTGATAATTAATCAAATACGTAAAACTAACTTCAAATAAAACTAATACTCGGAAAGTAGCAATCTAACTAGGTATTAATCTCTTACTTTCTCTTATTATTTTTGTATGGTCCTTGGTAATTTTTTTACAACAAACCGATTCTTACGGGAATGACTAAATGTACTTATCGAGATATAAAGCATCTAAGTTTTATATAGATTCCTTTTTCATTAATTATACTTTTTATTCTTCGTGTTTGTTAAACATTACAGACTAAAGATTTACGGTGACACGTTGTTGTAATATTCTTTTGGTCATATTGACCTTGACCACAGACCAGCAAGTCCTTGACAGTGTCACCGACTAGGGGCAACCGTTAGCTGCTCAGCATGGATGACAAATAAAACTGGTGTGTCAATTGACAGTTATTTAATATAGTTACTTAGATCACAAACCAGGAACAATTTAGATACTTTTTGCTTAAGTTACTTTATAAGTACACATTTAAAATATAAGCTATGATGTTTCTTACCTTGTTTACTTGTTTGTACCTTAGACGCTACTAATTTTAGACCAATTTCAGTATTGCCAAAGTTTGGTATAATTTTTGTAAAAAATATAATCGCCCAAATTTTAACGACGCATTCCAATGCACATAATTTACTTCATAAGAAACTGTTTGAGTTTACCAAAGGCCACTCCACGGCAGATGCTAGTGAAAAATATTTTGAGGCTTGGGAAAGGTCACAGGATGCACTTGGGATATTCGGTAACTTATCCAAGGCCTTTGATTGTGATTTGTGTGCATTATGAAACATTGATTAGGAATTAGCCATCACTATTGCGTTAGAAAAAGGCATTCGACCTTCTAAATTTGTTTGTTTGCATTTATATAATAGAATACAGAATTTGATGAAAAATAGTAGTCCTCTAAATTCCTAGGTATTACCATAGTTTGGAAATTGCAATGCGGCCCCCATATTGAGTGACAAAGCCATTAAATTAGCTCTTCAGACTCCAGTGCTTGCAGTTAAAAAAATAAGACTCACTACCGACATAAATACGGTTTGAATAGTAAGTATATTTTAGCTTAGGTATATATAAGTAAAATACCATAGGACATGCAGCAGCAGGAAATGAAGGCGCTAATAATACAATTTTTATTCTGCAAAAGAGCTATTCGTGCAATTTCTAGTTTAGGTCCACTTAATTTTATATAGTACTAGCGACTCACCCTAGCTTTGCTCGGGTTTGACCCTAGCTTGCTTTCCCATACAAACTTTTGTACCCATTTTCACCCCCTTAAGCGATAATTTCCGGGATAAAAAGTCGTCAAATAAAACGTAAAATCGTACGTCCTTCCCATGGTCTCAAACTATCTTTTTACCAAATTTCATCTAAATTGGTTCAGTAGATCCAGAGATTACCCCTTATAACGTCACAAACTCACTTTTACCTCTTTATAATATTAGTATAAGTAGATTTTTACTATGGAAATAGCCCTTTCAAAGTCAAGTCACTTTCAGCTACAATTATTAATTATAAATAGGTATAAATAAATACGTAATTCAATTACATAATAAGCAATTGTAGAGCAATGAAAGCACAAAAAAACGGATATGCCACAATATCAATGACACACCCATTAACGCAGTGAACCGTTACTGTAATAAAAAATGTATATGACATCTTACAATTACTAGTCTAATGTTTCTAATAAGGACATCACGTACTGTAAGTTACTTTTAAAATTTTTAATAGCTAAAGGGCAAACTCCAAAAAAGGAGATGGAAAACGTCGGAGACAATACCGTTCCACAATTTAATTGAGCGATGTAAATGAGCATGAGGCAGGAACAAAATATGGATCAAGCATTTAGAATGTGTGGATCATTTCCAACCAGACGAGAGGATCCATACCTCCATGCAAGGATATCAATAGAGCAGAAAAATAAAAATGAGCTGGCTGTGGAGCAGAGAGCAAATACTAGTATATAATATTGGATTTGTACAATCTTATGTATGTATGTAATATTTTATAGTAGCAACGACAGATATAAACTTAAACAAGCATTAATTCTTATAAATTAAACAAATATTCATCGTATATATGATGATGATGATGTTCTCCTAGCCGATTCCGGCCATGGCGGCCAATCTCAATGAGATTAGCCAACTGCGCAGCAGATATTATAGTGCTCAAGTGTACGCGCAGACACAAGTGCACTCTCTATTCCTATCACTATCATACTCCGGTGGGACGACCACTCGACACGACCGGTGAGAGTTAAGGCGCAGGACCGACGGCTTTACGTGCTCTCCGAGGCACGGGGGTGAAACACCGCCAACTTCCCAATTCCGGGCTGTTACTGAGACTTACTATACAGGAAGACTCAATAACTAAACTTGGCCCGACCCGGGACTCGAACCCAGGACCTCCGGGTGTGAAGCCGTACATGCTAGCCACTACACCACCGAGGCAGTTGACACCGAGTCGTATATATAATATAGCTTTTTCATCTAGAATTCACTTATCTTCCTGAATACGGGAGGTAGTGTTATAAGGATATTTAATTTCCATATTACCTAATGTAATGATATTTTCAAAACAATATTTTTGAAAAATATTTACAATTTTATTATTTTTACTAAGTATTTTGTATAGGTATATAGTCAATAATTTTAATTAATGAAGTAACACTTTTACAAATTACACTTGCATATAATGAGGAAGTGCATCCATACTAATATGATAAATGTGAAAGTGTGTTTGTTTGTTTCTCCTCCTTTTACATCGAAACAGAGCGAAGGATTAGCATGATTTTTTGTGTGGAGATTGTTGGAGAGCTGGAGAGTGACATAGGCAACTTTTTACCGCGGGAGATTATCTCATTCAAACGGGAAAGCAAGTTATTATTATTATTTTTCTTGTCGGGAAATGCATTTACGCATACCACCTGATCCCCCAGGTGGTGATGTGGGGCTCACCGGCTAGAACAGCTGGTACTACCCACTAAAACCCGACATCCCTTCCCTCCGCCTTAGTGGGACGCCGCAGGATCGCTTGCGCATAACACTACGGCGCCCCGGCGGCAGGTCTGCCTAAGCGCTAGGCAGACCACCAAACCAATGGGGCTGCTCCACAGTCAACTCTGCAACGCCAGAGAGGTACCCGGAGCAGCCCCATTAAACCTAACCACCGCCCACCGAAGTGGGCCACCTCCAATCGGCTGCAGAGGACAGGGAGAGCGGCAACGAAACACCCACACTCCTCTTCCTCTGCAGCCCCACCGCGTCCGCCATCAAACGGTGGCGGCCCCGTCTAGGCCGCGGAAGGTAGGGAGAACGGCGCACCGAAATACCGGCACTCCTCTCCCGCCGCGGCCTACCTCTCCGCCGGATGCGGGCCTGCGACCACAGTCCCGCAACCGGCACTCATCATCCGGTTGTGGGACCAAGCGGTCCCACCACCGGTGGCCGCAACGCCTTCGGCTCGAGGCCTAGACGAGCGGCCCCACCCAAGCCATTTGGTCCGCGCCGGATTTCTCCGGTACCACCCGCCGCCCTAAGCGGGTGGCATTCCCCTATCCGCCACCTGGGGACGCGCCCGGTAGGAGTTGGCTTCTCCCCCGGGAAGTTATAGTACAACCCACAACAACTCATCATACCTATTTCCTATGCAAATAAATAATAATAGCAAAACCCGCAACTTCGCCCGCGTTCAACCTAGTAAAAAACTCTTTTGCTTTATGTTATATAGCGACTCACCCTCACTTCACTGGGGTTCGTCCCTATGTATTTATATAATATTAAATTATTTGGATATTATTCATACAAAAATACTTGAATCGCGATTAAAAAATGGGGGGTGAGGTTAGAAGGATGAAAAATACTTTACGACCTATTCTCATACCTACCCAATATACAAAAAAAATTAAAATCGGTGAAG